AAAAAAAATCACCAGCCTGGAAGAATCCATGCTGTGACCTCAACCAGTGGCAGCTCTGATGGTCTTCTTGTTGATGGGAATCTCAACAGCCTATGCTGAAGCAGGCTTGTGTTAGTCTGCAGGTGTCTGCTCATGCATGTAACACAACGGTGGCTTAAGTGGTCAGTGACAGAGAATCATGGGATGGCTCGGGTTGGCAGGGACCTCAAAGCCCACCCAGTCGCACCCCTGTGCCCTGGGCAGGGACCCCTCCCAGCAGAGCAGGTTGCTCCAAGCTCCGTCCAACCTGGCCTTGGGCACTGCCAGGGAGGGAACAATATCATACAGCAAGAATACATCAAAGTTTTTTGTGTTCCCTTTTTTGAAAAAATAATACTAATTAGAAAAGTAGTTACATCCTTGTAAAACAAAACAACAACAAAAAGAAAACATGGCCATTACCTCACACAACGCTCCTACCCTTTTGGAAGCCAATTTCCATCTCTGTAGGTGGAAGGGAAACTAGCAAAATCCCTCTGGAAAACAGGTGTGCGAATACACCTCCTCGTTTAACTACTAGAAGAAAGAAATCCTGTGAGATTCTCCAGGGTGTGCGCAGCTGTGCCTTGTGGCAGGTTTGTGCGGGTCTCTGCTTTCCCCCACTGCCTGCTCCAGGCCACCACTGTGTGTCCCTGCTAATCCTGTTATGAAGGATTTTTACCAGCTGATGATTTCTAGCAGGATGGACTTGCCTTACCTTCACTTTCCCCAGGGTAAGGGCCAGCCTTGGCTACATCAAGAAGCGAAAATTGCAGAACGCACCAACCCGCATCTCCCGACACCCGATTTCTGTTGCTGTTGGGCAGCTTTCCCGCACTCTTGCTTATTTAACACCCCCAAGAAGCCCATTCTTGAGTTCTTACATTTAAAAATACAGAAGAGTAGAATGTGTTTCCAGAGGTCTTGTTGCAATTATTTTAATTTTACATAGACTGCTCTGCACTGGGAAAATCCTCCACAAACCCTTCCAGTAGTGACGGGTGATTTGCCTGAGGCGTCGCTGGGACAGAGCATCTGGAGCTTCCTCTTTGGCACTTTTAGAGAAGATTTCATGCAAAAATGGCAGAGGGAGTTTTGGATGACAAACAACACTTCAGATTCAGGAATAATGTTAATTCCAGGCTCCATCGATGAAATTTATGTAGCAGCTACTCCTGATCGCACTTACTGCTCTTAGCACAGTCCATTTCCCAAGACAGCCATCAACAAAAGGAAAAAGTAACTGCATGGCTAATATTATTATAATATGACCTTATTAACTATAATTATACCCCTGTCGCTATTCCTCTCAGGACTTATTGCATGTTTCCATTATACACGTCCCATAATATACTCCTTCCATTAGTAAATCATACTTCCCAGGCATTAACATCGAAAATAAAGCCTTCAGAGGCAATGAAGACTCAATTTTCCTACAAAAATCACATGACTCCCCCCAGAGGACAATACTTGCTTTGCTAAAAATAATTTATGAATGCCTTTGCAGAACAGCAGTGAAATCCAGCAAATGCCCACACGCCTTCTCAAAAGCTGCTGGGAAATGTCCCCACATCTATCCAGCCCAGCCCCTGAGGTGCAGCAACAGCAAATGCTCTTTGGGACAACAGAAGACCCCAACCCACCTCCAAGGACCCTTCCGCTGGGATTTCCCTGGGATCCAAGAGGGAACAGGAGAAAGTTCATCTCTCCACAATCCACTTCTCCGCTAACGGACCTTTCTTTCCAGCAATGCTTTCCACACCACGTACCACCACCTTCACCACTTTTTCCAAGGTTTCTCTTGCAATATCTCATCAGTCAGGTCCATGGCAGAACAAGTTTTGGAGATGTGCTCTCCCTAACTTACTAGACCCCTGGACTTACTCATCTAAGTTACATGTAGCACAGAACCAAGTACCTTCTTTAGAAACCGAAGGAATTCAGACCACAACCCTGGAATTCCACTGTTGTTTTCCACTTGAGGTTTTCAAAAACACTTTTAACTGGTTGAGCTGACACAGAAACAAAATTAGTGAAGGCTAACATTGTCCTGTGTTGTCCTCTCACAAAGTAATTTAATAATATTTGTAAAAAAAAAGCAAAATAAAGAGTGTAGTAGGGAGAATAATCTACTAGGATACGATCATCTGTTGTAAAGTGCCAACTTCAGACAGCCAAGCTTAAAAATGAGAAGGGGTGGTATACTAAAACATGAAAAGTTGCAAGCTATGGTTTTGTACCGCACCAGTAATATGATTGGATTACTAAAAGTAATAAATGAAAGTGTGCCAGATTCCTTTATCTTCAGGCATCTTGGCAGAGGACACTCCCAATGTTTATAAAAAGTTTTCATTCTGCCATTTATCTACCAGCATCCTAACCAAATAACTTGAAATACAAATTATAGTTTCTATGCTATGCTCCATTCCGAAGTTCAGGAAGATTCACTTGCGATCAGATATTACAAATTTTGCCTGCACTTTTTCTCTAGATTTTACTCCTACATATGCAGAAGAATAACAGAAGTCAGTGCAAAGTGACAAACTACAAGCAAGCCAGTAAAACGGCAGCTCAGTCCCGGAAACTGTCAAATCTGCTTCAGAGTGCTAAATAACGCCACCGTTTCCAAAGCAAAACTTAAAATTCATTTTGCAAATCGTGCCTTCTAAATTACCAGCTCCCATACTTACATTTATCCGCCCAAAATACCAGAAAAACTGGGACAGGCTGGTTAAGCGTGTTTTATGAGAGCACAGCTCCCGCATGCATCGGCAACCGATCAGATATTAAAATCACAATATTCAGCATGAACAAATAGTTCTTTACACATCCTCTCATCTTGGGTGTGCACTTCTTCGTCGAAAACTTTTCAAGACAGGCGAATCATGAGGATGTCACATCTGTCCCCCGCACAGGGAGATGCCAGCCTGCAGCTTTGCAAAAGCAGCTCAGGAGAAGGTTGGCTGCAGCCATACACCGGGTGATTGATGCACAGAGATCAAAGCAGTTTTGGAAAAACAGTGGCATTTTGCCACCCTGGATTTCTGTAAGTACGCCCCGCCACTATCTTCACAACTCTGTGCTGGAGGGAGTGCAGAGGAGGGCAACGGAGCTGGGAAAGGGCCTGAAGAATAAATCTTATGAAGAGCAATTGAAGGAGCAGGGCAAGTTTGAAGAAGAGGAGGCTGAGGGGAGACCTCCTCACTCTACAACTACCTGAAAGGATGTTGTAGAGGTTGGTGCTGGTAATTAGTGGGTAATTAGTGATTGAACAAGAGGGAATGGCTTCAAACTGCCAGGAAAAACTTTTTCCCAGCAAGAGTGTTCAGAGATTGGCACAGGCTGCCCCGGGAGGTGGTGGAGTCCCCATCCCTGGAGGTGTTTAAAGGTCGTTGAGATGTGATGTTGGGGAGATGGTTTACAGGGGTGAGCTTTGCAAAGTAGGGTTCTTGGTTGGACTCAATGATCCCAGGGGTCTTTTCCAACCTGAACGATTCTGTGATTCCATGATCTGCATGAGCAATTCCACCTGTCTTCTACGCCAAGTGATATTGCCCACACAGGCAGTTAAAATATTGACATGAAAACATTAGTCCCACGTCAGGCTGGGAACACCGTTCCCCCCACATCTTTCTGCAGCATTTGACGGGCACTGCCTTGGGCAATCGTGGCCGCAAAGCCTTGCTTCCGACCTCTGAGGTTTGGCAATCACCTTTGGTCACCCTCAGCTTATAAAGTACCTTGTCCTCATAGCATCGCTGCTGCCGTTTCATCGACCACATGCCCACCAGGATGATGCGCCACAGCAGCACTGACCACACGGTGAAGCCCTTTCATGTTTCTGGACTTCAGCAGCTGCTGGAAAACTTTGCTGCAGCGCTTCCCAAGAGACATACGGTGCACAGCGAGATGCCCCAACACCATAATAATGTATCAGGAACGGTTCATCTCAAGACACCTGAGCTGCGAACTCCTGCAGATTCAAGAAAGCTGAGCAGTGTTCAGGGATGACAAAAACCAAAACACGACCAAACTCACCCTCTACCACAATCCATGTATCTCACAAAATATCCTCCCCTTGCACTGGGGGAAACTACTTGGTAAGCTCACATCCATGCTGCCACTCCAGTTAAAGATGTCCCTGCTCATTGGAGGGGGGTTGGACTGGATGACCTTTAAAGGTCCCTTCCAACCCAACACATTCTGTGACTCTCCTGGCAGACTGCTGCAGAGGACAAAGAGCATGCGGGCATCTTCTGTTCGCAAGAGCACATAGTGACAGGACGAGGGGCAACCACTTCAAACTACAGCAGGGTAGCTTTAGATTAGATGTCAGGAAGAAGTTCTTCACCGTGAGGGTGGTGAGACCCTGGCACAGGTTGCCCAGAGAGGGAGTGGAGGCCCCATCCCTGGAGACATTCAAGGTCAGGCTGGATGGGGCTCTGAGTAACCTGATCCAGTTAAAGATGTCCCTGCTCACTGCAGGGGGTTGGGCTAGATGACCTTTGAAGGTCCCTTCCATCCCAACATGTTCTATCACTCTATCATTCTTTGATCTTTGAATTTGGAGACTCAGCCTATGACTCTAAGGCTGGCTTGCCTTTATCTTGTGGATTTAATCCAGATGCAACGCAAATCTCAGGTAAAAGGCAACCCCACCTTTGCGCTATGCTCAAACAACAGAGATGCAAACAGTGGAAGGCCCACCTTAGCATTCAAACCCCGCCTGGACGCGTTCCTGTGTGACCTGCTCTGGGCGATCCTGCTCCAGCAGCTAGGGTTGGAGTGGGTGATCTCCAGAGGCCCCTTCCAACCTCCTTCACTCTGTGATTCTGTGTGATTCAATAAGGTGCAAGAAGAGTCCTCTTCCATGAAGAACCTCACTTGAGGCAACATCAGGTGATGTTCTGAACTGTCCTTCCTGGGCTAAGAGGGGAACAGTCCTGAAAGGACCACTGTGACGTAGCAAACCTCAAGCATCCTTCTGCCTGATACTGGCAAGGAGACAGCTCCACTCAGAAAAAAACACCTCCTGCAGAGTCCAGCCCAGCTACGTGAAAAGTCTTCTGCTAAGCCAAAAATGCCAAACGACCCTTCCCAGCAGTAAACCTCCTGCCTCCTTTAACTGAGAATGGAAAAAAACGAGACGTAATGCTGCGGACAATAACAAGCCAGCTTTTCAAGGGCAAAAAATGGTCAATCTTGTTTCGCAGAAGAGGGAATGCAAATGAAAAAATCAATGTAAAACCACACGAAACTGAATCTCCAGCCCAGGCTCTCTCTTCCATCCTTCTCCAGGGCTCACACGTGGCTTTAAGGATCATAATACAGGATCCTAACCCCGACCCCACGTCCCTCTGGAAGTGCAGCTGGCAAAACAAGGGTGAGAAACATCAAAAAAAAAGACTTGACAGCTGAGCAGAGCATCCAGTTCTAATACTGCAGGTTTCTGACAACCTATTTCTGGCACCGTCAGGATCCCCATCAGGATTCCGAGACAAGTCTCCCCCCACGCAGGACTGCAAAAATCAACCTAAGAACTGCAGAGTTGAAAACTGATTATTGTTTTAATTTCTGAAAGCTGCTAAGCTTAATTTTTTTTTAAGGCTACTAAGTAGTCATTAATTATGTTTTAATTTAGATTATCAGTATCATTTTTTGCATAACCACTGATCAGCTCATGCTCAGAAGTTATCTCACTTTCTGACAGCAGTGCTGACAACTTGGAACAGCTCCAAAATCCTTTCCTTCACATTCAGATGAAGGAAATAATGTTAAGGAGTGATCATTCGGAATAAAAGAAGTAAAACAACTTGGTATACTGTATTTTTTTGCAAGAACACTCTGTCTTTTTTTAAAAGCCAGAAAACTTAAGACTGCCTCTCCATTTTTACAGAATTAAAAACAAATAAAAATTTTTCTATCGCTGATAAATATTTGGAGGCAGTGTTTAAAAAAGTGTCAAAAAAAGGGGGGGGGTCCTTGTTTACCTTGGGATCATCTTCAACAAAGTTTTTAATGCACAGCACAGCTGGGAATATCCCTAAGGGCAGCAGCTTGATAAAGAGAAACTTTCTGTGGCACCTTGGGGACTTTGCGGCATTTTCCTGGTTACATTTCACCGCTTGCAATAATCAGAGCGCGAACAAAAACCCCGTGGTGATGAAAATAAATTAAAAACAATGCGGTAATATTCCATTTGAATAAAAGAATTGTGTAAGGCGGGTCCCTTACCCAGACAGGGCAGTCGTGCACCACCAGCCTGACATTTCCGAACACGCAGGCTTGGTACTCGGTGAAAACGGGGTTTTGCCCGTGCGTGGAGGACAAGCTGCTGTCAACCTGGGAAACCAGAACGCTTCTGCCCAGGTAGCTCCGGATCAGGCTGGGGGGCTGCTGGCTCTCCTCGGAAAACACGTCTCTTTCACTCCCAAACGCTGCGATTTTGACCGACCTTGGGGGAAGAGAAAATAACAATGAAAAAATAGCTTTTAAGAAATAATAAAAAAAACCAACAAAGGCAAAAGCTGTGTTGACAAAGGGACAGAATAAATAAATAAAAATAAAAATAAAAATAAAAATA